AATCCCAAGCTATGGTTGATTTGTAAGACCTGCCAGCTAACAGGGTCACAATTGGTATTGCCATAAACCCAGGAATATTTTTTTCTTTTACTATTTTCCCTAAGAATACTGATTTTTAAAACTAAAATGTTACAAATTTAATGCAGATAAGAACAAGAAAAAATTCCCTTAGGACATAACATAGCTGAAAGTACTGTTTGTGTAACAGCAGCAATGGTCCTTCCAACAGCAGAGAAGCAACCACTGCAACAGAGGTCACATAAGTGATGAATGAAGATGTTGGTATTTTCTTTAAAAAGTTTAAATATTTTTCTAATTCTTTTCATTGTAGAACAGACACTTTTTCAGTTCCAGTGCTTTCCTATAGTACTAAATCTGCACAAAACAGTGCTCAGAACCAAAATATGCTATTCACTCATATTCTCTGGAGGTTGAGTTTTAATTAACTGTATTTTCTGAAAAAGTAAACAATTTTTTAATTCTGTAAAAAATTGTGGAACAAATTTATCCCATCAGCTGTGCTATATTAGAGAAAATTCCTTCTCCCCTCAAGCCTAAAGTTGTGAGCCAATAAACTGAGTCTTAAGAGTTATGCTTATCTCTGTATTTTCAGTCTGAAATTGTTCAGAGTAAGGACTGTCATACCTTAAATATAGATCATTTTGTGGAATGTAATTTTACACAGCAGTGAACAGTATAGCAAATAAAATGTCAGCCAAGAATGCTGTAGCTTTATTATCCTGGATACATGCTGAAGGAAACACACTTTTTTCTTTGCACTCAAAAAGAAATTTTGCCAGCATATGCATTAACAGGTCAATGGTCCTGCAAGGTGCTATTAATGCATAAAGTAATCCTCATGCAATTTTCACACTTTCTATCCTAGAGCACTTTGCAAAACTAATAATAAAGAGTAGAAAAGATGGACTGAGAGAAGACTAAAGAACCTCACAGGAACAAATAGGAAAGTTTCTCATGCTGTGAAGCAGGGGCTGAAGCAGTGGTTTGCATGGGGCACCATCACAGCCCTGCCTGCAAACCACGCAGAGTTTTTGGGGACTGGGACATGTCCCAGGGCACAGCAGCTCCTCTGACACCCAGTGGCCATCCCAGAGGGGCACCTCTCCTCCCCTGCATCGCTGCTGCACCGTGTTCTGCATGCAGGGCTGTGTCCCTGCTGTCCTCCCCTGCATCGCTGCTGCACCGTTTTCTGCATGCAGGGGCTGTCCCTGCTGTCCTCCCCTGCATCGCTGCTGCACCGTGTTCTGCATGCAGGGCTGTGTCCCTGCTGTCCTCCCCTGCATCGCTGCTGCACCGTGTTCTGCATGCAGGGCTGTGTCCCTGCTGTCCTCCGCTGCATCGCTGCTTCACCGTGTTCTGCATGCAGGGCTGTGTCCCTGCTGTCCTCCCCTGCATCACTGCTGCACCGTGCTCTGCATGCAGGGCTGTGTCCCTGCTGTCCTCCCCTGCATCACTGCTGCACCGTGCTCTGCATGCAGGGCTGTGTCCCTGCTGTCCTCCCCTGCATCACTGCTGCACCGTGTTCTGCATGCAGGGCTGTCCCTGCTGTCCTCCCCTGTGTTCTGCATGCAGGGGCTGTGTCCCTGCTGTCCTCCCCTGTGTTCTGCATGCAGGGGCTGTCCCTGCTGTCCTCCCCTGTGTTCTGCATGCAGGGGCTGTCCCTGCTGTCACTGGGTTGGTCAGGCTGAGCAGCAGAAAAGCCTCCCAGGGGTGGCAGAGCAGAGGAAGCTCAGTGAAGCCACCAGTGCCCCTGCCAAGGGAGGGGAGCAGGGCAGCAGCCTTGGCCAAGGCAGCACAGGGCTGCCTTTTAATGGGGAAGTGGCTGGATCACTCCATAAAAATGAGACTTTTGGTCTCAGCTGGAAAAAGAAACAATCCTCCAGAAGTATTTCATTCTGGTGCAGTTCTAATGAAAATTCAGCTGTTTGTTTCAAAATGGACATGTTTTAACAAGCTTTCTGAAACCCAAAAAATAAGTGAAGAGTTACTTTGGATTTGTTAATTACAATCTGTTTACATTTCTAATGTCTTCTTACTATCTTTTTTAAAGTATCATATACAAATATATTTTCATAAAATTGTTTTTACCTAGGACATACTCTTGCAATAAGGTTTCATTGTGCTGAAAATCCCAACAATGCAGACTCTGCCTGTTAGCTCACATTAACTGAGTCTTTGGCTGATATTTCCATGGAAGGTATGCTGATCTTTCTAGTAGTGTCAATAGAATCACATTACTGCTCGAGTCATCATTTTCTAAAAGCTATTTGGCAGCTCACCATTCATCCCCTACAGTTAGATTCAACACTGTTTACAGCATCTAAAAAACAGAGTTAGTTATATACAGATTAAATAGATCATTATTTTTCCTAATGTGGTTAATTTCATAATAAAATGCTGTACCTACTTAAAATTGCTACTTTATTTTTGACCATAAATCTTAATGCTTTATTTGTGATAGCTGAGGTTTTAGTAACAATAAATGCTTTGTCTGCTTGATACAAGGAGTTCGGTGGTTTAATTAAAGGGGATTAATTGAATTAACCGAATTAATGAATTCAGTTAAACCAAATGCTTAGAAAGACAAGGTTAAAAAGCAGTTGTGTTATCCTGTTCATTACTGTGTGTGCTCACAATCCACTTCAGCACAAAGTCAGCTGGGTTGGATGGAATCACTGGTAAAAGCAGTTAAACTAACCTTGCTGGCTTTACAATGAAATAGGGCTTAATGACACTAATAAGCAGCAGGATAATAAGAGCAGAAAAAAGAGCAGCTGGAGCACTAACAAAATGAATTATGCCATCACAGCTGAGATTGATAATAAAAACCCCTGGACAGTAACTTCTCCAACTAGTACAGCTGTTTCCAAACAGCCATCTGTCTGGGCCCCAAGGCTATTTGATGTGTGGATACTCTTAAATTAACTTAGCAGAGCTCAGTTAAGAAATTACAGAAACAGTGTGATAATATTGAAAGTTGATGTGATATTAGCAATATAAACTTATACTGGTTTAAGAAAAAAAAATTGAAAAATGGTCATTTTGCATCTTTCTTTGATGTGATGAAACAGCTGTGTGTCCTAGAGTCCTAAAATAAATGATTTGATGACAGGAAAGCTCTGTGAGAGTGATTAAAAGGAAATTTGTTTTTCCTTTTGAAACAATTGGCAAAGGAAGTCTTAGAACTACATAAGTCTCCAAAACAACTTAAGCATAGTTTATAGGAACATTAAATTTCTTCAGACACAGGAGTTTTTTAATCAATTCAACTGTGAAATGACACAGCCCACCCTTAGCCCCTATTTTTCTTCTTTGCAGCTTTCTGAGAATGGGTTCACCTTGTCCTCTGAAAATGAACTTGTAATTTTCCCTTTTAAGATTTTAGATGCATGAAGACTGCAAACTATGACTGTGTAATCATCTAATATCATATTCATCCTTTTTCACATTGGTGTGTTGTAATATATAGGTTTGTTTCTTACAAGTGGGAAACATGCATCTCTTAACTTTTATTGGTTTCATAGACAGTGGAATGTGTGAAAAAACATGTCTTGATGAAATGATAAAAATATTAGCAAGTTTAAAACAGATTCCAAGCTACAAACATTAAATTGCAATCACTTAAAAGGCATTAGCAAGCTTGCGAGCTCAACCCCTACCATTATCTCCAGAAATGCAATTTTTCAACAATTAACACTGACAGAATTAACTATGTATTACAAAGAGAAAAATTTATTTATTTTTTCTTTTATGTTTGAAATTTATGAGAATGGTTTTATGATAGAAAATTTGGATTCACTGTTTTGAGATGCTTAAAGCCAGATATATCTGTGTTTTCTTTTAAAAAGAAAAGACGTCTACAATTTTTTACCAACTCATAATAAACCGTAGTAGAGAGGCTATGAAATCCCACTTGAAAACTGGTTGCTCTGCCAAAAATTTCTTTCTATGTCAGTCAAGTCTGCTGGAAGACAATGTCTTTATCTTTTTTAAAAAGATAAAGAGATTTTTAAAAAGATAAAGAGATTTTATCTTTTCATTATTTTTTGTGCACTGTTACTACATTATTTAATCTTCTAGGTCTAAGCTACTAAAACCAAGAATTTGACTTCCCTTACAGCATATGAGCACCCCATATATACAAACACATATAAACATTTTTCCCTATTGTGATGTATGGTTTTGTCCCTCAGAATTAATTATTTTCAGCTATAAAATATCCCTTAGGCAATTTCAAGGATTGGTAAATAAAACCTGATATTTCATAGATTAAAACTGCAACATAATATAAATAAATGTTTCAAGCATCTACAGAACCCTTGTAACAAACTCCTATCACCAACACTTATCACTGTCCTGTAGTTTAAGTGTGTTTAAGTGAATGGTAACTTGGCCCTGTCAGAAGAGCCTTATCCACAAACAGGACAAAAAAATAACACATTACAGTGCCAGTTCTTGCAGCAATCTAGCCTTATTTCCCTTGGCAATTTTTTAGGTTGTTTGGGTTTGTTTTCTAGTTTTTTTGGGTTTTTTTTAGTACTGTACAGACCAAATTCTGGTGTAAATAACTACAGGAAAATGCCAACAGAATATCCACCAGAAAGAAATCCCACAGTTCAGAAAAATTGTACTACAACCCATCTGGTAAAAATCAGCTTTACATGATGAGTAGCTGGTAGGTGTCTATACATGCCCTAGAAAATACTGTGCCAGCAAATTGTCATAGTTTTCTGAAAATATTGAATTTAGGCCCTATATTGTATTTTCCATTGCCATTTTCAGCTGCACAGGCAACTCAAGTAGAATAAGTATTGACTGTAAAGAAACAGCCAAGCATTTCCACCAGACATTACCTTCTCTCTCAGGATTAGTGTCCTACTGTGTGGCCTATTTTTTAATACAACTCAAAATATAAAAATTCAACACAATGTAAAAAACAAACCAACCAACCAAAAAAACTCATCATTTAATTCACTTACCTTTGGCTTCCTGTTTAGCCCAGAATTTTTTCACTACCTCATGAATGTGCCTCTCCTCTCTCAGCTTCTTTTGCCACTGACGTAGCTCTTGTATTTCACTGTCACAACGAACCTGTGAAAGGGGAATCAGAAAAGTAAACAAAAATTATATACCTTTGTATTTTCCAGGATAATGATACAACTTTTTTTTCACAAGGCTGTGGCTGGGCAAATATGTGACAGCCATCCTCTTTGCTGGGCCTGAGGTGAAAGCAAAATCCCAGAGGTTTTCAGTTTTCAGCTTACACAGAAATAAAATCCGCATAATTGACAAATCCAATTGAAAACATAAATATGTCTGTTAGGGGATCACTTTGATTACCAAGGACTCCTGAGAATGAGATTGCAGTGAGATGCTAATTCTTTGAGTTAATTAAAATTTAAAGCCTTACGCTGAAGGGTATTAGTCCCTTTAGAAAAGCATAACACTATAAAACCAACCCACTGACCAAAATAATAGAGCAGAAGAGAAGCATGAAGGGTCATGCAGAAGAAAATTTATTCCATCAACCTGATTCACACCTGCCACCAGCTGCAAATAGGCTGACTGGCAATCCCACCCACACAATTTTCACAAACAGGCGAGCCATTAATCTGTTATTTAAAGTAATTGGACTGCATTACATGGTATCTATTCTTTGTCAGTCAATCACTTCATGAAAGGCATAATTCTGCTTCCACAAAAAAAAAAAAAAAAAAAAAAAAAAAATTACAACAGTCAAAGGCCTAGATTTCATTTAGATATAAGCTGAATTTTTCTAGTATTGTTTTTGTACTGGTGTAGTTCATACTAACATAGAAGTGAACTAGTTCTGCATCAACAGCTTTTACCACTCTGCTACTTACACTTGTAAGTAGGATTTGATTAATTAGCAGTGTGTTGCCCATGGTTGGCATTCACACAATTACTGCCTCCAGTGCACGAGATCCTGTCCTCAACAGCAGTGGAAAGGGACATGCCAGCATTACCTTGGACACTGAGGATTATTCTCTTTGAGTCATACCCAAATTGTAGTAGAATTATTTTGAAAATGCAGTTTCTGGGGCTTGGGTTTATTCCTTAAATGTTACAGACAAAAATGTCATGATGTTTCAGGACTACATTTAGAGAAGCTGTGGCTGCCCCATCCTGGCAGTGTCCATGGCCAGGCTGGATGGGGCTCTGAGCAACCTGCTCTGGTGGAAGGTGTCCCTGCCCATGGCAGCAGGGTTGGAAATGGATGGTCCTTAAGGTTCCTTCCAACCCAAACCATCCCATGATTCTAAGGTTCAATGTCCAGTAATTCAGTCTGAAGTGGAACAACATGGTAGAAACAAGCAGCAATAAGTTCAGCTTCTCCTGGAGACATTTTTGCTTGCAGGAAGGTAACGACTTAGTTCCCTAGAACATTTCCAAATAAAATTGTATATCTTGAATTCTTACAGGTATGGTGAAGAGTTTGCCCTGTGACTTGAACTCTATTATAGACTCTTCTCCATTACACTCTGCTTTTCTCCCACTTTACTAAGACACATACAGAACAAAAGAGCACAACTTAGTTTTCCACTAGTTATAAAAAACCCCAAACCTTAAAGAAAACAGTTTAAATTATTTATCAAAAGTATTCTTTCCTCCCAGGATTCCTCCTCTGTGCTGCATCTAAGAATGCAATAAACAGTAGCTGAACTCCCATAGCACTTTTCAATCCACTTAGGAGAAGATAACTTGCTATGTTTCAGACAGTGCAGTGGCAGAGCAGAAATACAATACAAGGTTACTCAATCAATAAAAACAGACAAGACTTTTGCTCAGTGACTTGAGATCAGATACATCTTAGACCTCCAATAATATTCTATTATACTGATATAGTTTTGTTGTATCTTCTATAAAAGTTACAAGGACTTCTTACAAGGTTTCTATGAAATTTTAAAAATTAAAGAAGTTATAGCTACTAGTGACATCTTCAGAGACACAAAAAAAAAATATCATTTTCTATTAAATTCATCAACTGCTATTTGCAAAAATATAATTTAAATACAGGATAATTTCTTTAGACTTGCAAGAGACATTTTTTTATTTTATGCTGCTATGTATGATTTTTTAAGCCAAATAATTCCTTATTATATGGAGTCAGTTTGCACAGGAAAGGGTTAAGGAAATGCTTCTGGGACACAAGTATCTAAATGACAGAAGTGCAAGAGGCAGGGAGATAGAGAAATTACTACCTCTATATGTAAATACAACATTTCTGAAAACATGATGTGCCCATTTACAACTTCAGCTGTGTAAGATCTGTATTTTGGCCCATGACAGGGCCACAGCTGTCTCTGTACATTGAAAATAAAGACAATAATTCCTAACAGTTAAAAGTCAAGTATCGTAGCTTCTGTATAGTCTCCTTAAGCAAATAAAACAGTGGCAGTGCAGTGAAATACCCAGTGAAATACAGAGTTCTGAGATAAAGCAGAGTCAGATACTCAAATACTCCAAAGTCAGCATTAAATCCAAGCAGTAAAATGAGCTCCCAGCACAAAGTGTCTTTTTAGAAAAGTGACCAAAAAAAAAAAAAAGGACAAAAGAACACAGATATGCCACCTGCAGTAAAACAGGTGATGGGAATGTAACAAAATACATTTAAAAGTTCCAAATATGCTTAATAGATTACAGTTCAGCATAGTTATACTCTAGTTTAGCCTACTCATAATGTCTTAGAAAGTTGTTCTGCTTTGAAACCAGAGTGCAATGCCAGCATGATGGAAAAGCCATGACTTAGCAGCCAAATCTCCAGGTAAATACAGAGAGAATCCAGAATCTTGTCTAAAGAACTGAAACGTCTCTCCCGCAGACCAGCACTGCCTGAAGCCCTGGAGGTGTTTTAGCTTTGAAGGGAGAGTTCACTCCCACACTTGCTGTGAATAACAGGGAGTATTTGTGTGACCTTCTGGGTTAAAGCCTTTGCTGGTAGCACAGCTTGCTAGAAAGCAAATATAAACTGTGATAGCAAAAGCACAACTACGCCTTGCGAGATACAAAGCAAAACTGGAGCATTTTTATCTTCAGCTTTTGCTCAAAGGATGTGTAGTAAAAAATAGCACTGAATATTTATATAATGCTGTCCAATTTCAGCTCTAAGATCTTACAAGATTTAGTCCAAAACCCCATGCTTTCAGTACTAGGTGAGAACATGTAGCACAACAGATAAGGATAACACTAAAGGTTCACCCCCAGACATCAGAGGAAATTCTACTACTGAAAAATTTCTGTTAGTCTAGAATAGTTATGCAAATTTTAAAGATTAAAAAGATCCCATTAAAAGTGGCACTAAGCAAAGATTCTGCAGTAGAGGGATGAAGGAATATATCATATTTTGCTGGAAAAGTGCCTGGGAAATTGACACCTAGCTGAATAGTGCCTTGGCCTGTGACAGATGAATGGGACCTCAATAAAAAAGGATGGTGGAAAGTGGAAATGAAGAATTCTGATGACAGAGCTGTCTCCAGTCTTGCTTGAGTGCTCCTCCTGGCCCTCAAAGAGCCCTCTCAAGATGATGTCCTCCTTTCTGTGATCGCCTCACAGAACTCAGCAGCTCTATTTTCCACTGCTATTTGTTGTGGAATTCAGCATTATTTGTAAGTATTCAGTTATTATCAGCTATTAACATTAAATCAGCATTAGCTGACTGAGTTATTTATTTTAAAAGCAAATAATCTGAATTCTATCGTAATTTTTCATAACATACTTACCATTAATGTGATGAAATCCCATTTAAGATTAGTGTTCTATTAATCTGCAAGCCCAAGGATAACACATTGCTCTATGTAGCAATTCGTTACTAATGGTTTTTATTTTATATTCTGATTGCAATTTTTAATTTTTAAAACCCCATGTTCTTTCACCTCAAATAAGGTAAAGCATTAATAGCTAATTTTATAGCCTGAATTATTTTTTATGTCTCCTACCTTTTATAGCTAGAGTTTCTCATTTATGGGAATTGGTTTAGAACGATAAATACCAGTGTGAAAATGCTGAAGTTCATCTATGCAAGGAAGGATTGTGCCCTTCACAAGCTTTCAGAGAAGCAGAAGATATCTGAGCAACCTTGCAGTGTTCAGCAGACATAACTGTTATTGGATAATGGTTGCCCCACTGTAAGGATGCCTGCAGGGATACTGTCAGTGCTAATTAATGTTAGTGTCAATGCTGCCTCTGCTCAAAAAAAGAAAAATAATGGAAAACAAACAAGCAGAAAGAGTCACAAAAACCCATCAGTCAAGAAGAACATTTCAAGGTATTTTGTTGTCTTTGGCTGCACAGCGCATTATAGGAGCCACTTATATATTCATGCTTGTTAAAAATAGTAGAGAACTTAACAGAGTGTGTTTTAAACTATTGTTATTTAAGGAACACCTGACATCCAGAGATGTCTCACTGTCCCTCACAGCGAAATTGCTGCTATATCTGGAGGCTACTTAGAAGGTTAAGTTTTGATAAAGGAAGTCAAAGACATTTCTTCATGACCAGAGTCACCTGAATTTCAAGTCCATTTCTTCCTGAAGTGTGAAGGTATAGAGCTTTTAAAAAATATATTTGACAGAACTTGTTCAGGACTTTCAAAATAATTTATTTAGTATCCTAGGGTTAGCATGGCTGTTACCCTCCAAAATAATAGCATTGGACAATTTTCTTTGTATTTATCTTGTGCACCTTGCTCTTCCCCCTTAAACTGGGAATGGCACTAGTGCTGTGTTACTAGTGAGCCTTATAACATCTGCTTGTCGTTTTGTTTCCCTTTTCCTTGAACAACAGCCTTCATGCCTCTCATAAATCTCCTGTCCCATTCTTGGTCTCAATTCCTATGCTTTTATTTCTCAACAGACCTCACCAATCCTCCTCATGCATCTCCAGACCCACTCACATATCCCTGCATGAAGCAAAATAACACTCCACCCTTTAGAACTACCCAAAGTAACTTTCAATTAAAGAAAGAAAATTGTTCAGTGTTAACTGTACTTTGGAAAATCGAATTTCTGTGGATTTTCTGTTGTTGAGGAAAACAGTGAGATTACATCAGCATAAATGCCTATGAAAAAATTGTAGTCACTAGGCATAAGGCAGAGCAACATCCAAAGCCAATGAACCATAGGGGTCTCAGCAGCTATTTATAGTATCCCCTACTTAAAATTTATGTAAGGATTTTCCCCGGGGCCTTCACAGTCCTACAGTTTTCAACATCAAGCAAAATAATTATAGATTACTGTTACCCGATAACCTCTCCAGAAGGACTGAATTAGTATGCTTGCTTCTTCTTCTGATAGAAGCAGAGATAAAGGAACTGGTGGTCTAGGACTTAAAAAAAAAAAAAAAAAAACAAAATTAACAGACAGCCTATAAATGTAAAACACTTTCATCCCTAACAGTATATTTTATCAAAAAGAGAAATGTTGTTCAGGAGCCTGAAAGACACAGCTTCTTATTGCTCTGAAAACAAAGTGCCCAAAGAATGTCTCCTTTACAAATATATTATTATATACACTACCAGAATTCCTTCTTAAAACAATAATTTACAAATGGCACATCAAGCACAGTCATCTTTCTTATTCTTCTACATCTATTTCAAACTCCCCCTATTATGGTAAGGTTTGGGGTGGCAGTGGGAGGTGGGCAAGGGAAGGAGTCTGTCATTTGTAAAGCAGGGAAGGTTTTAGTGTGTGTGCAACAATGAACAGACTTATGATGTAAATATTTATTACATTAAATACACAGAATATAAACACATCTTGGTACATTCATTTACATTATGGTGTCACTTTAAATTAAAATTTGCTGAAAAATAATGATTATCCTATCTGCATAGCATGAATCCATGTTTAGAAATGTTTAAACTAGTTCTTAAAATGCTGAAATTTTACTTTTGCTACCATATACACTTTCTTTTGGTGATAAAAGAATATAATACATTTGTGAACTCAACCATTTTCAGCCAAAATATATGGTAGCTTGGAAGTACATTTGGTGATTCTGTCGTAATCAATTTTAATGGGAACAAGCTAGTAATTAAATTCAGCCATCACTAGCAAAACCTCAAATTACTATATCAAACCTTGCTTCCCAAAAGCCATTTTCTATGGGTTGATTTATTTCTCAGACACAATGACAAAAAAGAAATCATCCATTGGAAAGGACAAAACAAAATTTGTTTCTATACTATCTTTTATAAGAAATGTAATTTGCAGCCAAAGAACTACAGCATAATAACACTGCAACTCATGAAAACACCAGTTCTGAAGAGAAGACTTGGCACAGCATTGGAATGGCTGCCAAGAGCCACTCTCCCTGCATGAGGAACAGACTGAACACAGCCTTGACTTGGAAGAACACATCATGATGAATTTGGATGCAGCACCCACCTGCACATGCCGATGCAGGAACATGATCTATAGTATTTCTATTATAAATACACTGCAAAGCCCATCAATAACAAGCTATTTATTTATGTAGTCTTACATTTTCTGGTTAAAATGCTGCAATATCTTTTGGAAATTTATTTATGGCATATTACAGCCCAAGCTAAGAGGCTTGACATCTTACATTTTCCTTTCACTTAATTTCATTCATATTAGTCTCTGCCCTAGTAAGCTGCCTATGCTTGCTGACGTCTTTCTCTTAGGGCTTGTCTTCACTGCAGGAGCATTTCAACTTGGAGCACAGCCTTAGCTCTTATCTAATGCTACACTGACTCCACTGGTTCACTCTGTGTACTCAGCTAAATTGGTCTCATCATCATGTCAGCTGGGTTTTGCCCTACATTTATTTTAATGTGAAGTAAAACCTTGGTCTGTTTGGAAAAGTTGAAATAAGGCAAAAATAAAAAGCAGTCTCTCCATTCAGCTAAACTGTCTTAGCTCTGTGAACATTAATTAGCATTTCTCCTGCTCAGGGGAAATCGTAAGTGCTGGACAAGCAAGGCTTCCTGAGATAACAGCTTCTTATAATCAGACTTAAAAATCTGAAGTTGGACTGTGCTGGTTTCCCTGATAGACTTTCATCCTCTGTTCTATTTTAGATCTTTTTGAAGACCAAAACTTAGGGAAAATCACAGGAAGACCTACATATTTTACAGCAGTTATATCAAAGACACTGAATTTTCTCTATGAATAAGTACATCTCCAAAGAACAACTTGAGATTTCTCCTAGCCTGCAAGGTCAACTCTAGTATTTCTTTGCTTTCATTTTCAAATTATAAAAATGTCTACCTTATAATCCAACACTAAAACTGAGAAAGCAATATAAAAAAATCAAGCAAGAACAGGAATTAATTTTTAGTATGACAGTCACTGGCAGAGATATCAATCCTTTCAATGGCACAATTTTAAAGACCAGAAGTCATGCCAGGTCCAGTTTGGTCTAAGAGAATAAATGGTGAATATACACAATGTCTACAGGTCAAATAAAAATAGAATCTGAGCAGAGGCAATCACCCCTCAGCAGACAACAAGGGAAAGAGGAGTCTGGCATTTGTGGCAGAAGACAGCTGGATGCCTGCAAGATGCAAACTGACAGTACAATGTACACTGACTACATGCTGCTTATTTAGTCCTTGATTATGCACAATCTTAAAAGCCCACATATGAAACAGTGCTATCTATTTAAATATATATATATATATTATTTAACACAAGTTGCACCTGTAAAAGAACATCAGAAAAAAAGATTTTTCTGAAGTATTTTATTTTACCAAATCTGCATAAAGCAGACACTGACCAAAGTTAAATTCCAGAAACATGTTTCTTGCTTTCTGAGCAAACTTGTACAGATCTTGATTCTGTGAGATATTCACTACCCAGATGACATTATAAAAGTGGAATTTTGCACCCAGAAGATACAAAACAGACTTGTATTAAATAAATGTAGGAGGCATTGAAAAGAGTTCTTAATGAAGATATGTATCTGATTTCCTCATGGACAGAAGATGGGGTTCTCAAAGAATTCTGAAAATGGAGGAAAAGAGTCCCTCCATTTTCTTGTCTCCAAAACAGACAAAATAATCTCTGGGGGTTCATAGTCACAGTGAAGGGCACTGAATTCAGGCAGTATTTCCACACACTAATGCCCAGAAACTCTGATTATCTTCACATTCTGTCTTACAAACAGGCCTGATTCCTTCCTTGGAAACAAAACATAAGAAAAAAATGTAATCAAGAAAATGTTCAGTGTATATAATTCAGGGTTTTGTAATGGCTCCTCCTGTTCCAATCTGTCCCCTAAGAGCAGCAGTGCCTGGGGCTCCTGTGTGCAGGCGAGGCTGGAATCTCCAGGTGCAGCCATGGAATGGCCTGGGCTCCTCTCTGCTTTTACAAAGCTCTTCCCTAGAAATATTGAAGTGACCCTGGTGCAAAGGATGAGGCCTCCTAAATTTCAATACATTGGCCACAGCCAGATTCATTTCACCTTTAGCTTGACTGTGATGGTAATTGTTCTTGAATATTGAGATCATGTACAAACATAGGCAATGACAGAGTCACTGAAAAATTCATAATATAAAGGAACAGACCACAGAACAGGTGTAAATATAATACACACGAGTAAATGACCATGGTGATCTGCATAACTCTTCAAAAAAGGATTCTGAGAAAGATTTTGTTCTGGGAAATACACAAAAAAAATCACGTGCTGGTCTGAATAACCAAAAAAACTCTGCTGGAAATTTCTCAAAGTACTCATCTTTCATGCTTGAAGTATTTCTTATTCCTAATCATAGAATCTAGAAACACGACAGCAAGAGCTGCCTTTTTTAGGTCTTTTGTCTTACATGCCTATCCAGATCCCCAAAATTGTGCAATAATGAGAAAGTATTATTTTTATTCAAACTAAATGTCTCAAAAACCTCTGCTTATAAATACTACTAAGGTCATTTACCCAAAAAGCAGGAAAATGGTGGTTCATTAGCAATCAGAACTGAATTATTGATTCATCTGACCAGGTATTTAAAATCAATAATATGTATTGATCTAGTATTACACAGGCACTGTATGAGCCTCTCAGATTTCAAGGGAAGTATTCCCACAGACACTTGACAAAAATATTCTGGAGCATTTTCACAGGTCAAACAGAGTGTGAACTGAGACCTTTCTTTTTAACATTTTCAGTATTAGTACAACTGTTCCATAGTCAGAAATAAATTCCTAATCACTAGTTTTCTTTTGCAACTATATAAATGCACAAGAATAAGATTATTAATATTTAAGAAAAAAAAGCCTTACAATATACAAGAAAACACTTTAGTGCACTATATGGAGAGTACATTTTTGAAGGATTGTAAATGTGGGAATAACCAAATTTAAACTTCTTAAAAGAGGAACTTCAGCCAAGTAGACATCTTAAAATGTGACTCCTGCTAGTTAGCAGGAGTATCAACTCTTCTTCTCTATCATCTTGTCCAAATAAAAGGTCCTTTATACTGCCAGTAGTGAATTGAATTTAAAAATGTTATAAGTACATTTGAGCGTGTTATCAAAGTGACCATAGTGATAATATGCATTCAACTGCTAGACACATACCAACTATTTATACACTTGCTTATCTATTTATAATGAAGAAAAGACAAGAGAGTGTGGAACTAACATGAGAAAGTTGTTATGTGGGGAGGCAGAGTCATGTAACCAACAGGAGACTGAGGCAGAACAGGTGATTTGTAACCAGAATGTCAGAGGAATTAAAGGAAGCACAGCAAGAAGTCTTTGCAATGAGAACATGCCAAAAAATAGCAGAGCAGGAATTTTTTGTCTTCAGTTCTGTCTGAAAATTACAGTGGATTTCTTGTCTCAATAGGCTCTCCTTGGGAGGACGCGCCCACCCCAATGCTCCAGCTCAGCTCTCCTGTGCTTGCATACTGCCACATACTTTGGAAGTCACAAAGCATTGCCTCAGCTTTCTCTCTCGTAGGACCAATATTTATGTAGTCTGTGAGAGTGTCTGTGGGCCTGGACTGAAGGAAACCAAACATGGACCTGTTCCAAAGGCCACTCATGTCAATGGGAAAATTCCCATCGATGTTTGTGTACTTTGGGTCAGACTTTGTAAGCTGAAAACTTGAAAAACTCCCCTTAGTGCTCCAATTAGGGAGATGCCACAAAGCACTAATAAGTTTTCAGTTTTCTCATTGCCATTTTGACAACCTTTACATAAATTTAAAGCATTTTTAATGCATCAGATATTACAGCCATAACACCTTCAACCCCATAAAGCACCACTACAAAATATAACTATTTTACACAGAAAATTTCTGCAGTCTTTCAACACACAGTTTTTAAGTTAAAAAATTCTCCTTTGTTAACCTGAATCCTGCCACATTACTTGAACAGCAATTTTCACTTGGAAATACACAGAGTAATATCCACAGAGATGTATTTGCTGGACTTCCCATTATTACAATAAAATGTTATTTAAAGCTCAAATTATTAATGAAAAAAAAAGAAGAAAATATAAGGCAAATCAAGCACACTCCAAATGTGGCTGGATTAGACACAAACCAATGAAATATAGCAGTGTGCAGAAAGCACAGCCTGTAGAAACTGGGCATATTATGGAAAGAAAAAAAATCAGTCACCCATGCAAAATTACCCCTATTGGCCATCTGAGAGCTCACAATGAAGTCAACTGTAAAGGCAGCTGAGACCAGCAGACTTCACCCAATTAAAATATCTGGGGGAGGGAGAAAAAATATTCAATGTATATATACGGGTATACAGATATTTGGCAAAAAGCCACTAGTCCAAATTTAGTAATAGTTTATATCTTAGTTGTCCACTTCAGTAAAGCCATGATAAAATTATTTTCTCTGTGTCTGTACACTTGTTTTGGTACACACAGATAGATTAAACCAGGAAATGTGTCCTTCTGAACTGGGTAGCAAGTGAATATCTCCAATAAAAAAGAAGAAAATGCAGATTAAAAAAATCTTGTGAGTTGTTTTTTATCTGAACTTCAAAATCCGGGAAATGCTTGTTCTAACATAGGTGCATATACCACATACCACTCTCTCTCGTTGGATGTAAGGTCGAGGGTTATGTTGAACAATGCTATCATATTACTAAATTTACATGACAGGCTTTTATGATATCACAGTTTTTCAGAGCAGAGGAACAGTATTTTATTGGTTTCTTCCTATTTCTTTCATTAATATGCTAAAGAAGGTTGGGAAATGATGCTGCTATGTTACTCAGACTATCTATGCCAGAAAAGTAAAATTTCAGAGGGATCAGAGCATAATCAGAGCTCACTGACTTTCCCTGGCCCCAACTCAGTACACAGAGCTTGGTTACTTGCAACTGAGCTTCAGTGCTCTTCAACCAGAAACACCACTGGAAAATGCTGACAAAAGGCAACTGTGGTGTTCATTAGCATATTTATAGGATTACAAAACATTCCCAGCTTTAATTCTATTCCTTCACTTGGTTCTTTCAGCAGCCTGGAATGGAGGAACCAGGTACATCAGTTTGTATCCCAGCAGTGCCAACAAACGTGTGCTGGGTTTGTGTTCAAACTCCACTTTCCTGCCCTCTGAAAGGTGCAGCTGTCCTTTAAGGCAACAGAAACGTCTGGCATGTGATATGGGGATTACCAGTCAGCACTGAAGCTGCTCCTTCCATTGCTTTTGAAATCTGCTTGGGGAATTGCAGATTCCCAAGGGATGGAATATTTTGTCAGCAGTACTGGTAACATGCAGAAGTCAGTGGAAGACAAGGTACCTATACTAAGATGTCACAGCTATTATTACACTAAAGGTGCAAACAAATTCAAATTTTACAAGCTCCTTTACCTACAAAAACTAGATTTTGAAGGTACAAGATTTGCATTTAAAATTCTGAAAACCAGTGCAGCATTTGGGTCTCCAAATTAGGGAAAATAGGCTGCAAGATCTCATTTAGAAATGCATTGCACAGAAAGTGAAGTTCATAAGACTGTGGCTTTGACTAGTCTTAAAAAAAAAAAAAAAAAAGAGCTTCAAAGAAGAAACTGGAGGCACTGGAGGAGAGCCAAAAAAGTCATACTCAAGTATGGAATATATTAAAAAAAGCTGGATTCCAGATAGAACAAAAACAATAGTCCTCTGGGTCTTTTTTTGTTTTGGTGGTTTTTTTAAGCATTAAGACTGCTTGGCACTGATAAATCCATCTAAACAGTTGGGATAAGGATGATTGCCATCAAGATTTGACCAGCACTTTTAGAATATTGTCTCTTACATATTTTTAATCCTGTTAAAAAAATTGAAACACCTTTAAAAATAGAAATGAAAGTAACAATAAAGAACATACAATCAATTACAATTTAAGTGTGATAGCTGGAAGGATATAACAATAAACTATTTATGACATATCCAGGACATAATAATAAATTCTCTTTTTTTATTCTTATTTAATATTGCAGCCTTTGACTTTGCCCCTATAGTATTTACTTCAGAAGCAGCATTTTTTAAATCTGAAATTTTAGGATATGATCACTAAAAGTAGTTATTTAATATTTTATTAATGATTAATATATAATCATTTTAATAATTATTATTTTAAGGGCGTACTTGTTTAGAGGATTTAAGATGAAGGGTATCAACTTAAGTAGGAGCCTGACACTCCAGTGTCCTTGTGGAGCTGTCACCACGTTATTTAGGAGCACCACCACTAACAGAAGCTATGAGTCATCCAGGCTGTGATTCCACACTGTATTTCTCTTGTTGGCAAAGCTGACTTAAGCAGTTCCTGCCACCACCTCTCCATCTTAGCAGCTCATTCTATTCCCCTTGCCCTGAGCCCTTCATTTTAATCCTTTGTTTGTGCCAATACACAGGTTTGCCACTCTCCAAGGTGAAGCAGACTGGAGAAATTATCTGTTTTCAATAGCTGTACAAACCTTCCTCACACATTTTGGCAGAGAGATTCCTAACTCAGAGTAGAGCCCTGCTCAGAATAATCAAGCACCATACCAAGCAGACAAGGTGGTATTAGGGTGCCTACAAGCAGGGTGGGGTGAAGAACAGGAGAGAGCAGGGAACGTTTTGTTCAACTCCAAGAGAAATGTTTGAAAAACCATGACCTTAAAGATTTTATCTTGGGTACAAACATCCATCCACAAACCCACAGCACCAAAACTGCTGTACTGGCCAAGGGAGCAACCAGGCTGCAGTTCTGCTCACTTTACAGAGCACTAAACCACAGCCTTAAATGGGCATCTTGTTGGCAAGAACTGTGTTTGACAGAATGAAACAGATGTGTCCCACCAGAGGCAGGTTTGAACAGCAGTGCCAAGGACTGCACGAGGGCTGGAGGTACCAGAGTTGAGATGAAATGGGTCATTCTCCAAAGGGGTCTTGTACTGCAGAAATGTCCTACACAGTTCTCACCACATGATCACCTCTCAGGGAACCAAAGTTAACCAATCAAAGTTAACCCTTTGGACACAATTGCCAGCTTATCCACAAAGACCTGTGATAAGGAGCTTTCCTCTTGCTCCATTGGTGTCTCAAGGTTCCAAGCGCCACATGTCAAGAATTGAAAAAAGTTCAGTTTCCACTTACATCATGTAACAAAGTAAATGTATCTACAAAGATATTAATCTCTACGTTTTCACCAATTATCAACCCAGATTCCAGTTAAGTTTTCAAATTGAAATTTTTCTTTAAAATCTGAACCCCTCTTAGTTTCTTATTCCTTCACTGTGGACTAATCCTTTGCTTTTCTCACACAGCAGCTATATTTTAAAGTAAATGCAGTCTCAAGGACAGTAGCATTTCTTTCAAAACTATTGTGCTGTTTGGTTCTAAGAAAATAACAAGGACTATATGATTGAGGCTGCCAAAAACAAGTGCTGATTTCTCAAAGTCATAAATGTCTGCAGAAATGCATCCTGATGCCACGGATTGTTACAGGTATTTTGAAAGCAGCTGCTTACAGTTAGAGAAGAATTTCTTGACTATACTCCCTAAGATTTCCATAGGAGAAAGCAGCACTGAAAACATTGCTTTTCTTCTTAATGCAAAGATGTTCATAATACTACCAGACTATTAAAATGCCCTGCATTCTACATTTAAAATGTTTACGAATTCAAAATTAATTTTTCTGTGAGCAATTCTGGTACAAAATACCTTGTAAGTAATACACTGGCCAGTTAGAAACTATCACATAGTTCTTTGTTGCACACAGTAAAGGGCCTTTTTGAGGTCACAGCTGCAACATATTGAGGCTCTATTACTTTTTTAGGATAGCAGAGGCAAAAGAATAAAAGGAGAAAAAATTAGTCTGAGTACTGCAATAACTTACTGGTCCTTTAACCAGTCCTTAACAAAAGGAATGGAAAACAATTCCGTGAATGACTCATCCTTCCTCTTTGGATTATTGCTGAAGAAAAAGAAAAACAACTCATATTAATTTAAATTTCAGCTATTCAATTTGCAAATTAGTGCCTTAGAATCACTGAACATACTTAGTAGCAAAAAACATGATTAACTTACTTGTATAACCACTCAGTTAGGAAATCAGAGGGAATAAATGTGGTTCTTTTTCCCTAAAGACAGAAGAAAGTTTCAAATTATTTATTATCTTTGGATTGGTCATATGTTTAAGATAAATTGACTGCTTTTGTTAAATAAAATATACAGTACATGACTATGTCTACGCTTTATTGCTACTGCCAACAGTCAGTGGCTCAGCCAAAACTTTTAGAAATTTTGTGGAATTATTTCAAGACAAATGATGAGTGGGAAAATTCTACATATATTATCTTGATATTTGCTGCAGTATATCTAGAACAAAGATCTCTGAATGGTGCTCTAAGAGGCAATGTCATTGTGAAGAAATTAACAGAACTCATTCATACGTGAAAATATGTTGTAAATTCCTTGCCATTTTGTTTAAAGTTCTATTATTAAGTATAATAATATAACTTAATTTCTTAATTTCTTCCAAGAGAAAGAGGGAACATTGATTGGATATTGTTTCCTCCTGCATGGAACCAGCTTGAAGATGTTGTGAATACCCACAGGCAGAGTATGGTATGGCTGCTCTGACCAAATCATCTGCTGGGTCCAGAAAGGAAGGCAAAACCAAAAGAAGGCTTTTGTCTGTCCACAGCCACAGAGACCATGGACATTACAGAGAACAAGGTAAAAAGTTCAAAACCTGGAACTTCACAGAAAAACATTTGTGCCCTTTGCTTCCAGTTCCCAAACTTAACCAACAAAGAGGATTTTTCAAAATGTTTTGCAGCAGGTTGTCCTTAGGGACTCAAGCAGCCAGTACCACAGCCAGCCATTCAGAGCCTGAATTTTGATAAAGCCAGAATGGATTAGGAAATCCTTTATTTTTAAAAGCATTTCCTCTGACATTCCATCTTGATAGATTGAATGTATAAATGATACAGGTGCTCATTCTGCTTATCACAAACCACTGTAAGCATAATGTGGAGAGCAGAACATGGAGTTCTGGTTGGAATAACAGAAGAGCTGGATCAGCAGCTTCAGAACCCCTCAGACATGAGATGTGCTCTGGATGGACACAGTCACAGTGAACCCTAAAAGACATCGAGCCCCTGCAGCCCCGGGGCACCGAGTGCTTCATCACAGTAGCAGCCACTGAGCTAAAAAAACAAGCTGAGCTCCCAGCCCAACACTTGCCCTGTCAAACGGGAGATTCAGCTGTAATAATTCCTTTTAGGAGAATAACTCACACTGGTCAAAAGCTTTTGTGAAACTGCTTAATGTCACAAAAGAGGCTGAAGTATTGATTAAAATGTAAGAGGTTAAGATAGTACTGCCACTTGCTAAGGAAAATACAATAAACATGTAATTGAAAATCTGATGCGTGAAAAATTACTTTATTCTATTCATTATCCTCAGATGTGAACAGAGAGGCAGGAAAAAATGTTCTACATAGTATAATTCTTTCAGTTCATGGGATATGTCATAATTTGGGGGTCAGCCACAGGTGAAGTGGAGGTGAAGAGGAACATTGTGTGAGGCACTGACTGCCCAGGGGAGAACACAGGGCAGGCTCGTAGCTGGGGGATGACAAGTGTGAAGTTTAGTGCAGGACTGCAGGGCAGTCCTACAGGATACCCAGGAAAGCTTTTAATCTTCCAGGAGAATCTTCCCCTTGGTACAAATACAGTCTGACTCCAACAGGAACAAAAAAAAAAAAAAAAAAAAGAAAAAAAAGAAAAAAAAAAAAAAAGAAAAAAAAAGAGAGCTTTAAAAAAAAAAAGAAAGCAGAAGAACAGAAGATGACATCATCATAAAACAATATTAATCCAGAGCCATATGTGCCTTTATGATCTGTTTTGTGACAACCAAAGCTTTGGGGTACAGGTAGGGCTCCATTAAGTGCTTGGCTGAGAAGAAACACAGATCCTCGTGCAATTTTCACATTTATGCTAATACCAAATGCTGCTCCAAGAAGCCCAACAGCTAAACCTTAAGAGACCAATACCTTCACTGCAGAGCTTTCTATGAGTCACTTCAAATGTTAAATGGACAAATCTTGCCTTGCACAGAAGCTGTAAGCAAGCAGCAGAGTCTGAATGTCACTGTACAGCTATTCTCAATCACAGGATGAAAATGGGTCCCATTACTTAGGGAATTGTTTCAGAGAATAAATTCTACACTTTGACAACAAAATTTGATTTAATCTAGCAGTTGTAATTTAATCTGTTTTAAATAAATTGCTTTTCCTTTGCAATGGGAAAAAATTATCAGAACAGTGTTCTCAAAACAGCCATCACCAAAGTGATCAAATTCATCTTGTTTTATCCTTTTAGAGGCAGTGAACTTAGCAGAGAGGAATTCAATCAAGCTGAATATTTTTTATTTTCTTTGCCAGGAAACAGTTTATTTTGCTAGTGATTTAAATCATTAGTTTCACAGCAGTCAACATTTATAAAGGGAAAAAATTACATAAATTGACCTGCCTTTGACACATTCCTCCTATGCTGCATGAATCCGGATAAAAAACAGGAAATATCTGTACAATGTGCATTGTTAACCTGCAGATGTGTTTATAAATTGTTTATATTCAGAATTCATTTTCCATTAAATATGATATGCTTGGTAATAATAATGAAAATATACTGGTGATTGGAAGATGGCAAAGTCATTAGGAAACCTCCTTCCATTCCCTTTCCCTGATCTATCATAATTTTAAATATATTCCATTACAGAGCCTGATACAGCTTCCTCCTTTTGTGATAGCCAACTAGAAAGAAAAGTCAGAGTTACTCTAATAAAAACATTTATACATTGTTCAGTTTAATGCTGAAAAATGAATGCATTAGTTGGTTCTCATGAAAGAAAAGATTTAAGAAAATAGTCTTTCCCCTGTAGGCATTTGACAGCAGATGGGATAAAACACAGGAGAACTTATGATAGGAAAAAAAAAAATCAGTGAGGGAATACAGTGGGCAACCTAATAGGTTTCTTTCATCTCTAATTTAAAAATGAAGCTTCTGCAGACTGTTCTCATATTTATGTCAGTTTGAAGTCTAGCAGTTGGTGGTTTTTCTTGGCTTTAGCTTTTCAGAATTTTTGTATGCATCACATAATGCAAGAGAGCCTATTTTAAATTAAATGTATCAATTGTTATGTTTCTTTATCACCTTTCAAAAAAGATCTTTCCTACACAAATCCCTGCTTCCAGCATAACCATTTCCCTTTCCTGACTTTCCTGTGTGATTGCACAATTCTTCCTCTCCAGACATGGATGCACCTTCTCTGATCTCTCCCTTGAATTCCCCTGCTGGCCCCAGGATCTGATTTCCTTAACACAATTTCAATTGCTCAAAAGCTCTCCTATTTACCTTTTCCTTCTCTTCTCATTCATCCTAATTTACTTTCAAAACATGAAAACCTTTAGTCTCTCTCATCAAAATCCCACTCTTCTTTCTCTCTCACCATTCCCTCTCTCTTCTCCCGGGCTCATTCAACATTGATTGCAGTCAGTCTGAGTATTCCTCCCTCCCTTCCAGTGCTTCTTCCATTTATCTTCCACTGCTTTATTCTGTATAAGTGCCCTTTACAGGCTTTAGTGACTCATGTCTAGCCAGAATTCAAACCCAGTATTCTTTTCTCATCCTTCATGATTTCTGGTAGCTTCATCACAATTAATCTTCATGTCCTGTTTTCTCATGAACTCCATGAATCTTTTGAATCTTTGTTGTCCTCTTATTTTTGTAACCTGTACTCTAATGTGTTTATCACAAGATCCTTTCTCCCTGTTCCTACTTTGGGTTGTATGGACTCTGCTTTTGATCCTAAAATTCAGTTCAAGTTATTTCATTAGCCATTGTAACACAAATTACAGCAATTGGGTTTTTTTCCCTCCAAATCCATACATAACTACATATTTCTTACCAACTAAAGAATAACTAAAAGTCACATATTTATGCCAGATAAGGAAACAGAATGTGCAAGTTCAAGTACCTGGACACCAATGGAAAGGAACATAAATATTCAATTATATGGCAAGCATAAAGAGCTATTGTTTTCCTAGTTATTGTTCAAAAGGAGGAAGAAATGAGGTCACAGTGGAAAACTATCACCTGACCTCAGCTTGCTTTCCTGAGCTTGGCTCCCCAATAGCAGGGTATCTCTTCACATAAGTGTGTTAGCAAACAATTATTTTTAAATCTGCATTTTTATAAACTCATTCATGCCAGATACTCTGTTTTCTAGTTAAATGGGATTTACAGAGAAAAACAAGCTAAAATAGAACATTTTTCTCTATTACAATGCCAGACCAGCAAAAATAATTGAGTCACAAAGTAAAATTCAAGTTCTGTACATCACTCTCAAATGAGTGAAATGCATTAATGTGAAAGGAAGCCTGTTCCTCTAAAACACAACAGTATTTAGGCTAGATACAATCAGACATTTAAGGAGGATTTGTAGAGAGCTAGAGATTGTCATAATGATCAAGTTCATGTAGAATGTAATCTGTTCTGAATTACTGGAGAAAATAACATTTAAAGCCAGATCCAAAAGAACCCATGATATGTTATATCATATTATTATGGATGGTTTTCTTGCAAAAGACAAATTTTAAAAATACTTCCTGTGAAATATAAAGGCTGTAACTTCCAGCCAGTGATTTGAAATGAAAACTACAAACTAACCTCAAAACACTTCTCCTTCTCTGTCTCATGCAGAAGTGCAGCCAGTCCTGGTAAGACCACTGGGAAGATGTAAAACTCCAAATATTCTCGAGGAGAGCCTGAGCAAAACAGGACAGCCTTCACTTACAGCTAAGCACTTGGATTTCACAAAAACACCACCATAAGATATCATAAAATCAGTACCAGTCATTTTGTCAGTCCCATCACAACTTGGACAAAGCAGATTCATTCCCTTCACATACAGCCACAGGTCTGTCTTCACACCACACCACAAACTTGGGTAAATTTCAAACTAAATGTGCACCAATACTGCAAACTCAGTGTGCCTCAGAGATGTCAGATTTAGTTTTAAGGGGATAAAGTCAGACACCAGAAGCAGTTTAGTCACAGAAGTGAAAAGCTCTGTGAATTAATTTACCCTGACAGGAAGAAATTAGCCTGTGCTTCACTCAGTGGTGCTGCAGTTAGACCACTTTGGTATCTCATGCCCTTTACAATCTGCATTATCAGAGTTAGTCATAAAACTGAATTTCTAGACAGAGGAAAAACCAAAGGTTATATTTTAGTGGTGCTGTGATTTCTTTGTCATAAATTGTTCCACACTTGCCATATCCTTCAGAGATTTTAACATGACTCCATGTACCCAACCTTTCCCCTCTCAGAGGGCTGCCTGCGTTGGCACCTCTCACCATTCAGGCACTATTCAGGTTTTGGTGTGATCAGCACAGATTAAGTCCTAGGAGTGTTCTCTTCTGACAACACAGCTGAAACACTGAATTTATTCTCAGCTTTATACCTTTAATTGGTTCATATACTGCCAGAAAATGCTCATAATTGGGAGGACACTAGTTATGTAAAAGCCAAGGGTAACGCTGCTTCTGACTTGCACCAGGAGCTCCTAATGAGCAAGAATGAATGGAAGAGAAGACAAAATGAAGGGCTAAAATGCATAAAAACACACTGCTGCTTAGTAAATTTATTATAAAGTATAGGAATTGATAAAAGTGGAAGAATAAAACTTCAGAGCTGCTTCCATTCCCGTCTGTAATCAGGTGGGTAAAGACAGTATTTTGACAGCAGTTTTCAAATTCAGTTGTCTACTTAGTCTATTGATCCTAGTTTTGCATTATTAAATCAGAGGAAGAAATGCCTACCACTTCTGATTTAAGTGCCTAAATAAAAGGCACTTATTCAGAAGAGCACAGAACTACCTTAGCTAGTTGATGGTTTGTAATGCATAATTTGATATTTCTTCCATTGACCAAGTGGCCAAGCTGGCTCCCTGTTTTCAGGGCAGAGGCCTAACCATGCAAATTCCCCACAAGCAAAGCAGTTGTTGCTGCTAACACTCTAAATTAAATAAATTACAAATCCTTGCCATATGCAAGACAAATAATCACAGCAGGGTTCAAGGTAATATACTCCTACTCACATTTTTTTGGATCAGGGGGTTCTCCAGGGGGAGCTTCCCCGAGTATGGGAAGCAGATATTGGGCTGCAGGGGCAGAAAAAAGTTGTTCCATAGGAATAGCTGCTTCCAAAGGCACCTGCTTAAAATAAATGTATCCTGTCTAAATACCCCAACAGAGTAGACAAAAAAATGCAAACAAAGTAAACAGAAAAAAATGTATAAGGTCAATTAAAAATTATGGAATTAATTAAAATGTTGTATTATTTATCTATTTTCTGAATCCTTGAAAATATATAATTACACTTTAAAAACTTCTGCAGTTTCCAACACAATAAAATCATCCAAACCTAACAGAAGGTATATGACTCCTTTTAACAGAATATGGTGAGATATCACAATTTTAAAAATATTTTATCCATTTCAAGAAATAGTAATTATTTGGAAATTAATACTGGTAGCATTTTCTGAATAAGTATTTTCCACTCAGAAGCTTAAATCTCTCTTTCACATTGTTCAGAAGTCCTGGCATTCACCTTTTAAAGAAAATAAACTTTTCTTGTTAGCATTATCCAAGTTGTTTTAAATACAAGCAATTATTTGGAATATTACATTTGTTGGTTCAAAGAAGTTGTTTGAAAAATAATAGTTTTGTTTTCATTTTATGAATGAGTCTACCCTGTGGGTACCTAATTTTCACATTTAGTTGTATAAAATATTTTAAAAACATCTCTATGGAGATTTTTTTACTTGAACTGCACTCACTGATTCTTGTTTTGATTCAGGATCTTGTTTTGATTGAGGAACATCTGAAACTTGAGGCTGTTCTGCTTCATGCTCTAAAACTAAAAAAAAAAGAAAGCAACATTTACCAGGAGACTCTAAAAAAATATTTATTTTCCTCCTAAACCAACATTCTTTTAAGGTATTTATTTAGGTTTGAAAGAACAAAAGTTAGTATGCAATAAATATTTGTTTAACATTTAATCTAACGTTTTGAAACAAGCAAGAACTTAAGAGACTCTTGTCATGTCTTCTCTTGAGCTTTCAGTCAAGTGCAAGGCTCTCACTGACAAAAGAACACTTATTGGGAAAAAGGTTTTTAACCAAAATAATGATACAAAATATTTCAACAGAAGTAGAATGCACATGCTTGCACTGAATTAACCATTGTTTTTACTAGTGGACAAGACTACTTTTCACAGTGGATTGCTCTATAAACAATTAAGTCCCACGGACATTGCTAAGTATTACTGTCTCCACTTTGGGAAAATAAATAAGAAAACAAATAAACCTACACAAACAAATAAAAAAACCGACGAACTAAAAGCTGTACACGACCCTCAAGGATTACTGAGTGACTCAGGCTAAGAAAAATAAAGGATCAAGACAAGGACATGAGAACACCTCCAGCTCCCACAGCGCAGCCCCTGGGAGCCCGAGCCCGGCTCAGCTCCAGCAGCGCACTGAGCTTTGGGCACCACCGAATAAATCCACGGGTCTGCAGGCTTGGCTTGGAACAACCAACCTCCCTGCAGCGCTGAAAATGGGCATTTGAACGCAAACCGCCTGCTCTGGGCGCTAGTAAGTGCTGAAGGAAGATAACCCCGCTGGAGAAGCGCAGTGCTGGTCTCCCAGCGGTGCAGTCTCAGCGTTCTCAGACTCTGGGAGAAGCGCAGGGGCTCTGCTATCAGAATGCTGCTCTGAGAACAGTTTTGTATTAATTTAACGTTCATTTAACCAGCACCGACACAGCCGGCTCTGCTTTCCCGAGCTAACACCCGACTGCCCCCCAGGACAGCCCACAGAGCGCCGGGGCAGCACAGCCGGGCCCCGACCGCCTCGCGGCGGGGCACACACGGAGGGCGGCTGTGGGGAGGTGACGGCAATAAAAGCAACGGAAGGCCCACGAGCAGGACCGCTCCTGCCGGCTTGGGGCACTCTGTGGGGCGGGCACGGCCCCCCCAGCCCGGGCCGGGAGGGGCCCCGGGGGCCGGGGCAGCGGCCCGGGGCTCGGAGCGGGGCCGGGGCAGCAGCGCGGGGGCTCGGAGCGGGGCCGGGGCAGCAGCGCGGGGGCTCGGAGCGGGGCCGGGGCAGCAGCGCGGGGCTCGGAGCGGGGCCGGGGCAGCAGCCCGGGGCTCGGAGCGGGGCCGGGGCAGCAGCCCGGGGCTCGGAGCGGGGCCGGGGCAGCAGCCCGGGGCTCGGAGCGGGGCCGGGGCAGCAGCCCGGGGCTCGGAGCGGGGCCGGGGCAGCAGCGCGGGGCTCGGAGCGGGGCCGGGGCAGCAGCGCGGGGCTCGGAGCGGGGCCGGGACAGCAGCACGAGGGCTCGGAGCGGGGCCGGGGCAGCAGCCCGGGGCTCGGAGCGGGGCCGGGGCAGCGGCGCGGGGGCTCGGAGCTCGGAGCGGGGCCGGGCCGCTCTCCCACCTGCGCCCGGCCCCGCCGCCGCCATGGCCGCGTCCCGCGCGTTGCCGGGCAGCGGCTCCGGCAGTGCCCGCGCGGGGCGGGCGCGGCGCGATCGCTTCCGGAGCGGCGGCGGCGCTGCACGTGGCCGCGGGAGGTGAGCACGGCACGGGACGGTACGGGGACCGGCCCGGCACGGCACGGCACGGCACGGCACGGCACGGCACGGCACGGCACGGCCTGGCCGCCACAGGGACCGGCCCGGCACGGCCCGGCCCGGCCCGGCACGGCCCCGCCGCCACCGCATCCCGGGCCGGGCCGGGCCGTGGCGGGGCCCGGAGCGGGCAGACTCGGGCTGACTCCCCCGGCCCGCGGTGGGCCCGGGGCTGAGCGGGGCCTGCACGGGCAGCGGGGCCCCTCCGTGCCTCACTGTGCTGGGCTGGGGCTCCCCGGGGTTTGACAGCGATCCTCAGTGGTGTTATTGTAAACCGAGTGGCAATCGTTGAGTTTATCGGTAAGTGGGTGCTAAAGGCATCTGTGTTGTAACCAGTTCATTGGCGTAAGTGTCGTGAGCAAAGAAACGGAGAGCAAGGATAAGAAATCACCGATAGAAGGAAATTTAAGGTAATGATTCCGGTGCCGTGGAAGGGTCGGTAATGCTGAGTGGGCTGTAAAGCGGTGTGAAGTTCTGTGCTAAGTGAAAAGTCACAGGTACCTGGAAAACTACTCTGATTGTATTTCTGTATACACATGGATATGTTCTGCCCTTTAGGAAAGATATTTGGAGGGTAGGTATTTCTGTGGAAACCTTATGTTCTGCTGCTGTGAAACAGACAAACAGAACCTTACAAACTAAGATAAGGTGCACTAAACAACATGATAAAACCAATCACCCCAGTAAACAGTATTTTCTGAATGTGTCTGTATGTCAGTACATTCTGGTTCCCATCATGGAAGGCAGACTGAAATTAGAAAGAATGTCAGGGACAATGGGAGATCAGGAATGGTTTCAGAATAAAGGAAGACCAAGTAGATTGGGACTTATATCATCTCTTTGAAGCAGTTCGCTAATAGCCTCATTTCCTTTTTTAGAATGATAATAAAGAAAAAGAGAAAAGAAATTCGTGAGGAGCCTATTCAGAAAAAGAAAAAGTTGAAGACTACCATTAAAATTGGGGAAGATGTTCAAACTGTCAGTGAAACTAAGGACAATCGCCATTTCAAGAAAAAGACGAAGACAAGGAAAAAGGAAAATTTAAAAGATGAATGCTTACACAAATGGCAACCAAAGAATAATAAGAAAAAGAAGAAGAAAGTTGGCTCTGAATTACTCAGAGAAGATAATTTAGAAAGCTTTGTGAATATAAAAGGTCATTTGGATTTACAACTTCAAGAAAAATCAGAGAAACAAATTAAAATAATCAAAAAGAAGAAAAAAAAAGTCCAGTGTCATTTCTCCTTGGAGAATAATGAGAGTAGTGATGTGGAGCTTTCAAATCATCGCACAGATGGTACTAAGAAAAATGAATTATCTTTTAAAAAAAAGAGAAAGAATACTGCTTCAGATTTGGAATTGGATGGTGAGGTAACAAAGAAAAAAAAGAAGAAATACCGTTTTTTGTTAGAGGACATCCAGGACAGTGAACAAAGGCAATCTGCAAAAGTCTGTAAAAACCCCCACCAATGCACTTCACAAGAAGCAGTTTCTATGGGTGAGGACTATGACACAGATTATGCCCAGAGGGGTGGGGAGAGTTATGTGAGAAGAAAAAAGAAAAAGAAAGGTAAATCTGACAATTTTTTAGCACTGGCAGTTAATGAGGACTACATGCATCGAGTTCCTGGTAGCCCCACTGCATTAAGTGACTTCAGAAAAAGGAAGAAAGATAATTCCTGGGAATTTACATTGACAAGCAGAGAGGAAGAGGACAAAATTAAGAACTTTGGGCATATCAAAGAGATGAAAAAGAAGAAAAAAAAAGCTGTTTCTTCCTCAGCCTATGAAGATAAGCAAGACCGAAGTCACTGCATTCCTGATAAGCATCTCCCAGCACAGCAAGAAGTTGAGCTTGAGGAGGAAGAGCTGTCTGGAAAGAAACACAGGAAGACTTTAAAGGATAATAATGAAGTCAGTAAGAAGAAAAAGAAGAAGATTAAGAAAAAGGAGAAGGAAACAACATACTCAGAAGTTTCTTTAAACAATGACAGTGCTTCTAAAAGCCAAAAAACACTGCTAGAAAGCCATAAGAAGAAAGAGAGTGAAATGGAGCGAGCGCAGTGTGTTACAGGGGACACTGCAGATGGGGCATTATGCAGTAGTAATCCTGTACTGTGTGACAGGAAAACGAAAAAAAGGGAAAAAGTACCACCACAGGACTTAGCTGAAGAACCAGGTTCAAAAGCAGTTGCAAGAAAGACGAAGACAGAATCGCCATGGAGTGAGTCAGCGGTAAGTTGTGGAGAGGAGAGCAGCTTTGCTCCCTGCTGCTGAGGAGCTGGAAGCCTTTGGGGCAGAAGCTTTGCAGGCTGCTCTGCCTGTGGGTAACACTGGGGTCCCTGAGGGCCCCACTGGCTGTGGGGATCAGGATCAGCTGATGTATTTCAGCAGGTCCTGGTTCAGTTCCCAGGACGTTCTGGGCTGGAAGGGACCCACGTGGATCATCACATCCAGCTCGTAAAGGAAGGGCCCATACAGGGATCAGAGCCCAGCTGAGCTGATCTGTGGGGAAGCACTGATGCCTGCTGCTGTCACCATGCAGTGTTACAGTTGTGAAAATGTAAATATTACCACTAGCAGCAAGTATTGGCCCCAAAATAAAGTGGGGTTGTACAGTCATAAATGCTCAGTTGCTCTTTGCAAAGTGGCAACACTCTTCATCAAACAGGAGCTGAATTCCATGTCATTTACCCTGAGCAGTGGTAACCCTGGCAGCATCAGTTCATCTGTTTGTTGGACTTTCCTCAAGCTTTGCTGCTGTCACTGCTGGAGTTAGGTAATATGAGAAACAAAGGGGAAAGTTAGCCAAAACCTGTTCACTAATTCCAACAAAACAACAGAGAAAAAAATCTTAGGAATCCTAAGTGTAGACTGGACCAAGAGCATTGAAATACAAATTCTGGTAGAAAAATACTAAAGACCTAAACACACAGTTTTAATTAAAACAATAAATCTATGCAAAAAAAAAAAAATAGATGTAAGAACTGTGTGAATTGTAACTGAGGATAACTGGGATTGTATCCTGACTGACTGGTAAAGGAAATCCCATCCAAGAGTCTTGCAGTACTTGCCATTTCTGAGGTAAAATTATCATGGGGAGGAACTGATGAAATATTTGACATATGGACTTTTTTATTTATATAAGAAAAGATATATAATATTTTATATCAAATATATTAAAGTTAAGGGTGCCAAAAGTTAGTGCCTACATGCCCAGCTTCTGTTGTCATCATTGGAAATTAAGCTGTGAGACGCTCAGAAAATCAAGAGGTATCTTGTATTTTTAGCTGCTTAAACTTAATTTTGAAAATGACACATTGCAAGTTACTAGGAGGTTGTTTTTATTCCTGTAGGTAATAGGAAGCTGCACTCCAGTTGCTTGCTATCAAGAATTTTGAATGCTTGGCTTATTTAAATTTCAAGCACTAGTTAAGAAAGTATCACTGAAGATTTTTGCAAGTTAAGGGTAGAGTAAAGCATAATGTGAGCTTCATTTGCTTTGTCATGCACTCAGACGCAGTTACCTCAAGTTCTATGGAAACCTGGCAGCTGCCTGGTGTCTAGTGCTAATAATTAAATGGAGATTCATGTGAAACCCAGAAACAGGCTTTTTTCACAGGGGCTTGTGAGGGGAGTGTGTATGCTTATCAGTCATGAGGTGAGCAGATGTTTGGGGCTTTCAAGTTGGATTTCTCCTTTTGACCTTTCAAAAGGACAAGGTGGTTTTATTGCTGGATATATTTTGTAATTAAATTGGCATTGCCTTTTTGAGATTGTCGGACGTTATTTGGATTTTACAGCTGCCTACATTGTGTGGAGGCCAGATAAGCCCTACAATGACATGTAAACTTCCATGACTAGTTAATATGGAAACCACAGCAAATACCTTGCAAACTGTTGAGAAGAAGGGAGTAGAGTGATGCACGGTTTGTTCCTCTTTTCCATAGGCAGCTCCTTTAATAATAGAAAACTACTCAAAAGAAAATTTGAAGATTGAGAGATCTGGGTTAAACAGTTCTAGCGAGTTCTAGTTCCTGCCAGGCTAAAAGACCCTGCACCAATAAATGGCTGATAATGTGCTTTTGCATTTAACTGTGCACAGTCCTGAAATGTTTTAATCTACAGCATGTCACATGCTCTGCATGCCTTGAAAAACCCTCTGTTGGGCTTGCCCTGCAAGTAAAAGAGCAAATTTTAAAGATGTGGAGTGACACCCACTTAGTGGTTGGTGTTTTTCTCGTTGGATCCCATTGCACTCAGCTCAGGCAGTGAGGAGTGAGGACTCCGTTTACTGCTTTGATGCTGTTTGCCAGCAGACAGCATAACCCTACCACATGGGAACATGCTCATTTTCCCTTAAGTTGGAGGGAGCTTGGCACACCTCCATGGGGTACTTTTTTCCACTCAGTAACCCTCAGCCTGTCAGCACTGTGCTGGGAATGAGCAGGGATGGGGGTGCTCCCTCCTTCCAGCTAAAAAGAAAAAATATGCTGCAGTTGTTTGCAGAGTCCTGTCAGGACAGTTTACCTGCTTGTTTTAATGGATCTGAAAAGACAGTACCAGGCCATCTAGAAGTAAATTGGGGGTTGTTTTTGGTTTCTTCTGTTCTTCCAAGAGCATGAGCTGTCTTTCCTGCAGACAGTGTTCTCGCATTTTTAATAGTGCATGTACTTGTGTGTGTGTGAAAGCAGTGTATAAAAGGTAGCTTTGGAAAATGAGGTAAATCATTGATAGCTTTTAATATAACTAAAGCCTCAAAAAAGTAACAGCAGGTTCTGCTGACAGAAGTATGTTACAGATCTTTTCCTTGTCATTTTCCTGGCTGTTTCATGCTTGGTTTATTATGTTAGCTGTATCAATAGATCTTCTCTAAGGCCACTTTTTCCAGGCTGGTCTAAAGCTTATGGCTCTCATTTACCACTATCCTGGACTTAAAACTTACCCTGTTGTACTGGATGCCCAAAAAGCTTCTCCTCGTTACGCACTTGGAAGAGAAAGGCTGGGGGCAGTGGCTGAGGCACGCCAGTCACTGGGAGCTAAAGCTGCAGCAGGGCTGCGCTTGGTGGAGGTGTGATCAGGACGTGGTTGTGTGTGGACTCTCAGGTTTACCTCCTGCCATCCAGCACATCCATTCCTTCTGGAGCTGCTCTGTCTCTTCCATCAGCTCCCTGTCGTTGCTCTCAAAGGTGGAATGATGTGCTGCTGGCTGCCGTTGTAGGGGACAGTTCAGGTATGAGTCCTGCCTCTCCCTGTGCTCCTTCCACACTGGGAGCTCCCTGGGCACCGTCATCCACAAGGGAGCACAGTGCAGCTGCCTCTTGGTTGGCTTTTGTTTATTGTTTCAGAGAGATGTTTATTTATTTTACCTCCAACTTCTAATTTTTTTTTTTAACTTTCACTGTCTCTGTGCCTTTTTTCAAGTATAAATTTAAGCTTTTACAAAATGGTTTAATTTGAAATTACTCTGCCTGCAGACATTACTGTGCATGCCAGTGTTGTTGGCAGATCCCTATTAATGTGTAAATCTAAAAATAATTCATCGTAATTAAAAGAAGAAAACCTCTGTGAGGTTCTTCCATAGGAATACACAGATTTAATTGGCATTTTCATCTTAGAGCTGACTATTCCTTCTTGCCCCTGAATAGTACTACTGATTGCTTACTGTTTTAACTACTTTTGTGGTAAGAGCTGTGTAAATTCCAATTAACCAGAATGTATAAAAATAATCATACAAGCTTTTTCCTGTTCTACAGGAACATCTAGATGATGGTGTAATTATTGTGCAGGAAAAGAAAGGAAACTGTGATGAAATTAACATAGACAAGGTATGCTTTGTCCTAACTGGGTAAGATCTAAAGCAAGTCAGCATTTAACATATGCATAGGAATTGATACCAAAAAACTGCTTTGTTGCTTATCTGTACCTAGATTGCCCCAAAGAAAGCTCTGCTTAAAATGTGCTTTATGAGTGGGTTAAGTCCAAAATGTACATTAATTGTCAGAAGTTACTTACTAAATTAAAGGCACATTTCTTTGTGCCTCTCATCAGTGTTGGCAGTTAGAAAATTAGACGTACCTGATACAGAAACCACTCATTTAACATACACTAAAAAATTACAGTTCTCATGTTGAGTGTGTGAAAGGATCCCATGCACCTTTTAATTATCCTTGCAAAATTCTGAAGATAACTAATTTTTTGGTTTTCTCTTATTATTTCACTTTGAATTAATTGTCATTTAACACATGGGACACAGTCTAATGCTGCACATGGAATTTTTCTGCACACTAGGTGAGGCGGCAGGCCCTGCAAGAAGAAATTGACCGAGAATCTGGCAAAACCAAAGCTCTCAGTTCCAAAGTGGGACAGGTAATGTATGAGTTTAGACCTCAGCCTGATGGAAATACTGCCTCCCAGGGCAAGTTCCTGTAAGAAGCTCTGTGCTCTTTTTTGTATGTGGCTCATGTACAACAGTGTTCCTTCTGACTGCAGATTTCAGGTCATGCTATAGAACAAGTTGGTCCAATGCCAAGAGTCTGAGAGCTGAGCAGTGAACTCCTTGCCACTGCACAGTGCTCTAATTCCCATCATCAGTCCTCAAAAGCCACATTTTTCTCTGGTTCCTCTGGAGAATGAGGCATCAAAAATTGCTACAGAGGCATTTTCTGCTTACTGTGAAATACAAGTAATTTTTGGGCTATGGATGCAGCAGTCACTGAAGTGTATCTGATTTCTTATCTGCAAGGCTTTGCACACATTCAGCAACAGGGACACACCTTGAAAAGAAAAGGGGGTGGCAATTGTAAACACACTTGTGTGATATTTAGAGTCGGTCCTCTCATGGCTTCTGCATCTTCCCTCCACCCCTTTGGAAGATGATTCCTGATTCTTTGCTTTTGCATCCTACTCAGCCTGGCTCCTGACAGATTCACAGTAAGGTAGTGGAAACTTGCTGCAGTGTTTAGCCAGGGGTAAGAAGACTGAGGTGGAGAGAAAGCTTTGCTAGTAATTCAGGCTTCTCTTGTTTTACAGGACTGCCAGAATGCCTAGAAAGCTGGAATATGCCTCAAAAAATGCCAAAAACAACTTCTGTAGATCTAACATAGTGGGAGGGAGTCTGCATAGCTCTGGAACTACAACTGTCTAATAGACTCTGAAGTCATTGAGAAAAATGACATCCTTGGCAGGAGATCTCAGTTATTTGGCACTGATCTGTCTCTGTTTAGTAGTATGCAGAAGAATAGAATCTGTGAAAACTTAATTCATCAGCTCCACAAAGTGAGCTGGAAATGCTTCAGCAAAAGCTGGGTGTAGTGCCTGCCAGCAGCTCACTTAAAAACAGAGTTTTGACAAGTCATAATTATATTTGCATCTGTGCAGATGTCTCCCATTGCAAAGGGAGGATTTATATTTCTTTATCTGTGTCTTGTGTGTATCTGGATGTGTGCATGTATCTGTGTCACAGACTGGGCTTGTGCAGCACCTTGCAAGGTCGAAAGGCTGAACTATTATGGGTAGCTTTCTTTCAATAGCAGGTATTCTGGCCTGTGAGAGTGAATGATACTCCAGCCTTGCATTTTTTTACCTTGAAGAACCCCTGCTGCAGCTTGCCTGCAGTTGTGTAGCGTGCTGTGTGTCATGTTGGCTGTCTGCTGGAGAATGACTGTTTCATGCAAGCTGCAACTGTTCTGTTGGAAGGATTTCAGGCTGACATAAGCATATCACTGAATTCACTTTTTTTTTTCCTTTGATGTAGCCAGCTCAGTCTGTTTAATTAATAATTGGACATTCTGCTATTTAGTATCATGCCCAATTTTAAAGAAAAAATTCTGAGTAAATCCTGCCAAAAACATTTATAAGTGACTGCAGAGCTATAGCTCAGGAGTCAAATACACTTGAATAATGAAGCCTGTTCTTAAGTAAGCCAAAAGTTCATGAACTCTGTAAATCCTACAGTGTATCTGGGTTTTCCACAAACAGCTGAAATCTCATTTTGGCTGGATATTGCCTCCTCAGAAAGGGGCCAGAATCTGCAGACAGAACAAAAAATCTTGAAGGAGTGAAGTAGTTCAGAGAGTATAGTTAAATGCAAGTACAGTAAATACAAAGAGCACAGCAAACTGCAAGAGAGGAGAGGCTTTAAGAGAACTAGAATTAGTCCTGTTGGATAGGGGAGGCCCTCTGGTTTTGCACCCTTGTAATATTACTTGTAATTAGTAGGATTAGAATGCTTAAATTTAAAAGTGGGATGAGAATTACTTAAAGCTTGTAAGCCAGATTGAACAGTGTCCACAACTAACATAACACTGCTGAAAAGAGCAGCTCCCTAACTCGGCAGTGGAAGAATGAAAAGATAACCCTACAAAGTGACAGTAGAAGAGGATTAAGGCTGACAGTTTTCTTAGAATAGGAGATGCTGTCTGGCTCTTGGAGCAGAGAGGGTGCAGAAAGCCAAGATTGCTAAGGACAGAGGGGAAGGAGAGTCTCCAAGCTCATTAACCCCTGGCTGCAGGTGAAATGGCTGAAATGCTGATGAAGGTGCACTCAGGCAGAGTTGGGTCAGTCTTTTACCAGATCCCTGGAGAGGTACTGCCCATGGAATAACACTTCCCAGCTCTGTCCCCCTGTCAGGCTTTTGTGTTCTGTTCTCATGGTACCCAGCCAGAAATTGTCTTCCTTGGTCTTGGTAGTTTTAAATTTTAGTGTTAACTTTGTTTTGCCTTACAGGATATGAAGCTTGGACAGTGGAGTACAGCTACTTTTAAAAGTTCTGAGCAACAAATGAAGTTTTTTAGACTAATGGGTGGCTTTAAAAAGGGTTCTGTGCCTATTCAAAGTCCCTCAGCAAATACAAACAAACCAAACATGGCTCTGAACCAGGAAGGGCAGGAGAAGTTACAGCAGGCTCTGAAGATGGAGTTTGATAAAGCAATGGACTTGAAGCAACACAGAGGAATTGGTCTTGGATTTCAGCCTAATGCCAACAAAAAAGTATATATAGACAAATATGCATCTAGATCCATAAAATTTGAAGATTAAAACTCAGAAGTAATAAAGAGCGTGAAATTTATTTTTGCCTTCTACATCTCTTTACTTGAAATAAAATAACAAAATGCTGAAGAAATTTCATTTATGAAGTACTTGAAGTACAAGTTTTCAACTGCATATACCAGTGGAGCTGGGTCCTCACTTCACCCAAACAGTAAGTTTTTCAAACCTTTATCACGTTCTTCAAGGCAAGAGACAGCCTCCTTCAAAGACTGAAGATGTGTGCCATGCCTGCAGTTAGTTGAAATTCAGTAATTTTTTTTTAATGCTGATTTAATAAACTTATTTTTTCTATATCATAAATGACTCAAAAGGATTTTATTGTTTTGTAAAATCTTCACATTTTTTATACTCAGTGGTACAAAATGATGGTGCTTTACTTTGAAGACACACTAGTGGTGTGCCCTCAAATTTGATGAGGGCAGACTTTTAACTCAGAAAGTAATTCTTGAAAATCTAACATCTTCCTTATAATAACAGATAGCATTGAAGATCTCTATATTTGAACTATGTTCTGACAGTTGGATTTTCAATAAGCAGCTGTTATCTAAAAATGAAAGTATAAGCATTTTGGAGATTTGCACAAACAGAACTACTACATTTCTTTAAGACAGCTTCACTTTTCCACAACAGTTTTCTGCAATGAACTGCTCCACCTGAAAGCATCTGCCTCCAGCAGAAAACACACTTAACAAAACAGCACTTGGTTCTGGTGCATTTTGGGCAGCTCTGGAGAGGAAGTGAAAATTCTGCTGAGACTCCACTTAAGGGGTTGCCATGAATCCATTCCTGTATCTGGGAAGAGGAAGATGCTCTTCCTGCAGGGTCTAAACTTCTTGGAGAAAACTTTCTCCTTTAAAGTGTCATTTAAGCCACCACTACCTCAATATGATGCTGATTTGCATCAGTGCTCTCAGTGTTCAGCACCAGCTTCCACCAGCCCTTCTAGGTTTTGGCTCTTGCTGTACTGAAATTCAGGTAGTAAATGTTCTGTTTTCTCTTCTGGTTTGAAACAAATACTGAATTCAAGCCCTCAGCTACTTGCCTGGCAAGGAGTAAAAAAAAAACACTAAGCAAAATTAATAGTAGATGTAAGGTCTTAACATGGTTCCTTACCATGGGGCAGAAGGGATGAGAGAGATTTTATTAGAAATAGTAACAGTACATGTAACTGAATTCCAGAAGGGTAAGGTGATAGATTTGTATACACAAACACCCCCAGAACACACAGATGAGCTGCAAATTGTTTCATTCAGTGATAGTGCACTTTGCAAATATAGAGGACTTGGCATCATTTCCATTTTCCTTTCCAACACTTAACGATTCCTTCTATTATACAAAACATCACTGGACTAAAATGCAAACATAAACACGTCTATGTAAATGTATTGTAGAAATTAGAACAGTAACACCTCAGCCATTTTTTCTCTGCTACTGGAGCCAGTCAGGCAAATGCTGGCAGCATTCCAAAGCAGAGGCACAACTTAGTCTGACTGTTGTATGGAAATGCTGCTTTCTGCAGAGGAGAATGACTCTTCTGCAAGAGGGATGAAGTTTTAAGGCTGTGAACTCATTTGTACAGATTATCTTCCTTTTTTGTTAAAATTACAACAGATCTCAAAAGGCTTTTGCAACCATAGAGGTTCAAGATACTGCTTACTGAATGTAAATCAGCATTTAAAATAACAATACTATGGTAAAACTGGATACAGAAACTCAGGTTAAATTATTGCACTCAGAACAGTTTTACCTTTGCTGTGCCCAAGTAAAGTAAAATAAAAATACACTGAACTCCTGCAGTGAAAATGTAGATCAGTGATTTCTGGCCTTGGTTCCATGCTCCCTTGTGCAGGTGTCTCTGGAAGAGGCACTCATCAGGTCCTGGACTGCAGAGGAAGCCGGAGGGCCAAGTCTGTGAAATGACTCATTTCAGGTTGTTTGCTCCTCCTCTTGATGTACTCTAGGGTTTTCACCTAGATTTGAAAAGAAAGGTATTTGGAGATTTTAATTGTCTTATTTCACAGCCATCAGTTCATCTTTGTGAAGGTGTTTTATCATGCTCATTATCATGTGTATGTTTCTTACAGGCTCTCAAATGCCACTTTCACCAGGCAGTTCCTCCACAAAATAAAAATGCAGTACTTCTCTTTAAGCTAGTTTTCTGTACTGAACAAAAAGTTAAGAACAACCAACACTTTCAGATTTCTTAATGCCTTATATACTATTAAAATTCTAGAAAGATACAGACCACTTGAAATAAGAAAAGCTGCTTGTTCATTAAGAAGCATTTAGAAGAATAACTTGTTGGGGTTTTAAGATAACTTGATTTTTTTTAAGTTAGCTTGTAAAGAGAATGAGGTTTATTCAGATCAAGAAAATGTCACCTTTTCCCAAATAAAGAGTGGAAAAAGATATTAAAAATTAAAACCTCTCTGCATTATCTGTCTCACTCCCTTACCATAGTCTTGGTGTCAGCAAAGCCATGCTTCTGAGCAAGGTTCCAGAGATTGACTGAAAGCTGGTTCAGTCTGTTGTTCCGCAGGTCCCCATGAGCCAGGATGGTGTTAAAGAAATAAAGTGCCAGCTGGCTCTGCCGCTTCAGGGTCTGGGATGAAAACAGAAATATCCCCATGTTACTGTACACTCATCCCAAAACACCCAGCTTAACCTCACCAGCTTCTCTGAACCCCCACAAGTTCAAAGGGCATCCTTTTGTAACACACAGCAATAGTTACAGACAGAAGAATACAGAGTTTTCATATTCCATTCAAAATGCACCAAGCAGCACTAGCTGTAAATCAACATAAGCTGCTGTGAATAAAATAATTACTCAGACTCCTACGTGTCATACCACTTTGGCACAGCACAGTATGTAGGTCTGACACATTTACAACTCCAGACTCCCTACAACTGCATCGAAATCACCCTCACACCAACCAACACACACTTAGAGCACCCTAGCTGTAAATTTTTAGAGACCACTATCATCAATCTAAATGCAACTTCAGGCTTTTTTTTTCCCAGTCTATTCTACTTTATTTATTTAACCAAAAATGTTTTTTTCCTGCTATTCTTTTACTGAAACTCTGGTGGTATGAACATATTTGTACCATATTTGTAGCTACTTCCCCTAACATTGCTGAGGAGGGACCTTAAGGAGCATAAAAGCAGTTTTCCCCACACAGAGCAGAGAGAATTCACTGCTACATGTTCTCTTAACCAGAAACAGCTTGAACTTTACAGAACTGTCCAGAACTAAAAATTTCCATTCCAGCACTGTCACATAAATGAAGCATTCTCTAATACTGTGAAAAGACCACACTGTGTTAACAATAAGATGCATTGTTCTCTTCCAAGTTGCCATTTTGGTGAAAGGATTTTATTGTGAGAAAATAATTTATGTTATTTTATAGCTTTTAAAGGAAATGAACCAATATAAACACAAAATCATTAAAGCCTTGTTCATTTAAATGAGCAGCCAAGAAGATGAATAATAAAAGGTCACCAACAGTGAAGCAATCCAAATACCAGTGATTTTATGACCAGCTTTACTTTAGCACAATTAGAGCTCTCTGACAATATTCTCATCACTTCTATTTCCTCAGCAACACCAGCTTCCTCAAACAACTATTCATTTTTACAAAGCAATTTTTATCTTAATCTCTCAATGACTTTCACTCAACAAAACAAAACAAATGGTCCCTCTTTGCAAATAAGGATGGCCAGAGGAGCAAATCGAAGGCTGCAGAGGCAAAGGCAGGCCAAGCACCTGTATCTGTGCTGCTGAGCCTTCAATCAGTTTTCTATGCAACAACAGCCTTAGCGAACTAACACAGGATCTCCCTACTCAAAGTGTGCTTGAAAGGAGAAAACAAACAAAAAAAGCCCTTTCAGAAACCATAGATTTCAAGTCCTACAAACATTCCTACCCACAAATTCCATACAGGAGTCAGATGCAAACAAATCCCTAATATACAACCCACAGTCCTGAAAATTTTAAATTTTCTTCTAAGACCTGGAACATTGGACATTGCTTCTGCTGCACTGTTCTGAAAAAGAACTACTATTCCCTGAGGTGATGTGTACAATGATGCAGAGGATTTGAGCAAAGGATATTTTCATCTTATATCTCTGCTATTGCTCAAGGAAGGACAAACAGGATAGCAAAAGCAGAGTAAAGGCTAAACTTAGCCCAGTGTCCTCCCAATATGTATCACTTAACACATCCTGTATTGGCAAACACTCTGTGCTACTGTGTAAAGAGCCCATCTAAAAAATTCCATCCCATCCATCACGCCCTGCCCTCCCATTCCAGGCCAGGAGCCACAAGATTTCTATCAATAGCAGCCTCAGTGAGGGCTGATTGGGAAGCTGTCCATTCTCAGAAACAGGTACATTAACAGAACAGTGAGTTCTCATTATTTCAGCAAACATCAGTCACCTGCCTTTCACATACAATCCATTAAGCTAGATTTGATCCCTCAGAGCCTCTGAATTCCAATCAAGAAATCCAATAAGCTGCCTAGAGTTTATTTTATATTGAACAAATATACTAAAGTCAGAGTAAAGACAAAACAACTATTTCCTCCCTCTGTACCTCTCTCCTGACATCATCTCAGTGCCTGGGATGTGAAACTTTTATAATTAAAGGTGGTTTTCATTGTATTTTCCCCAGTAATAAAATAACTGTGAATTCTCACTTTGCTCATTACAGAATTGGACATCATTAGGTCCCCACCACAAGCCTGCCTATGTGATGGTCTCATTTTCCAAACAAGTTAAAATACCCAATTTCCTTTTGTTACGAGGTTCCTGAAGCTTTTGAAAGACCAAGTCCTGGTCAAAGGTGATCTGTTTCTTCAACTCCAAATTATTTTTGGTTCTGTATTCAGTAAGAACTGAAGTAAGAAGCTGAGTAAGAACATACCTCCTCCTTTCCCAGGGTTTTCAGGTGATCCAGGATCTGTGACACCACTGTTTCACTCAGTTTATTAATTTCAGCCAGGAACTTGGAGTCTCCACCATACAGAGCATCATTGGAATCAACTGCAGAGACAAATTCAAGCTCAGGCCTGGCTAAAGAGCTATACATTTATTTACTATTGGAAACATCATATATTGATAGAAGACCACATTTGGAAGTCATAAAATGCCCCTCCTCCATGAAACACAAACAGAACTATGTCTTTTAAGTGCCTACCACTTGGTTGCATACTATGTCCTTTTGTTTTTAAGAGCAAAACACTGAGAAAAATCTTTTAGCTTAAAGCCAGTCCTGTACTCCTGGATGCAGCCAGGC